AAAAAAAAAAAAAAAAAAAAAAAAAAAGAAAAAAGAAAAAAATATGACCAAAAGAGGTTTGGGTAAAGGAGGGCCATGTGTCTTTGGAGTCCTCTTTAGGGGTGCCAAAGCACCCCTTCCTCCCATCACCTGGTGGTGAGTTACCTCCCGAACACTTAGCAAAGTCTATTTCTGCAAAAATTTCATTCTCACCTGAATTTTGGAGCAATGCTTCATCTTGTCCTCTTGAGGTATGGTATTGGTGACTACTACTGCTTCAAAGCACGCATTGTTAATGCGAGAAATGGCGGGACCAGAAAAGATTCCATGAGTCAAGATAGCATAAACTCTGGTGGCTCCAGCTGAGAGAAGTCTAGAAGAAAAAGAGTTGATCTGGATTAATCTTACCTGTTACTACAGAATCGGAGTTAGGGAGTATATTAGCTTGCTTGGGCTACCATAACAAAATACCATAGTGGGCGGCTTAAACAACAGAAATTTATTTCTCACAGTTCTGGAGGCTGGGATGTCCAAGATCAAGATGCAGACAAGGCAGGTTTCATTCTGAGGCCTCTTCTCGTGGCTTGTAGGTGGCTGTCACCTTGCTGTGTGCTCACATGACCTCTTGAGCATGTGAATGGGAGAGTGTCACCAAGCGGTCTCTTCTCCTAAGGGCACTAATCCCATCATGAGGACTCTGACCTCGTGACCTCATCTAAACCTAAATAACTTCCAAAGGTAATTCCAAATACCATCACATCAGGAGTTAGGGTTCAACATATGAATTTTAGGAGGACACAATTCAGTCCATATCAAGGAGAGAGAACTGCACTATTTATGAACTTACCTGAATAGGTTTGGATTAGTGTAAAAGACTGTTGTGGCACAGACTGCTGTGCTTAACAAAATCCATCTCCTCTTCTTCCTGAGCACATAGCCAAACTATAATTCCCAGCCTCCCTTGCATAATTAGGTGTGACCATGTGGCTTAATTTTGGCTAGTAAAATGTGGGCAGATTCAATGTAGACCATTTCTTGGCTGGACTTATAAAAATTGTACAGGGGTGATCCTCTCCATTCTTTTTCCTTTCTGGCTAGCCAAAATGGAAATGTGTCCCAAGATAATCTTGGAGGCCACATGTAAAAGATGTAGCACCACAAGACTGAAAGAGTGTGGGTCCTGAACTATTGGTTAGAGAAAAATGAGTCCAACCAGGAATACTCGCATTGGAGTGTGCCATGGACGAGAAAGAAACTATCGTGTGATACCACTGACATTTCAGGGAATTGATCTGTTATAGCAATTAGTACTACCTTACTAATACAAGGATGAAATGGATTTTCTAAGTGTAAACTCCTGGATCCAAGCCAGGAATCATCCAGCACCCAAATACTTTTTTAGCGCCTATTATGTGCCAGACACTATGAAAGGCGCAGACACATGGGGGTTAAAAAAAAAAAAAAACACTATAAGAGACAATGCTGACCACAGTGGCTTGGATTGCAAGCAGGGAGGAGCCACTTAAGATTTTGAAGGAGAGGAGTGATGGGATCTAGTCTTGGTCATAGGAAGGTTAGCAAGTGCAAAGGCGATGTGAAAGATGGACTGGGGAGGTGACAGACTGGTGACTGGCAAGAGAGCAGAGCAGGAAGCAACTTAGAACAGTGCAGGCAAGAGATGAAAAGTAATATGAAAACAAAAAGGAACAGCTAAAACAGACAGTCAAAAGGTAAGGTCAAAGTTTCCATCTCAGGTAAAATATAAAGATGAGAATACATTTCTGTCTGCTCAGATCTGTGGATTTCTTCCTTAACTCATTAAAACGAAAAACTATCAAAAATAGAGTGCTCAGGGTGATGAAAAACTTTGGAAACAGATAGTGGAGATGGCTGCACAACACTGTGAATGTAATAAATACCACTGAATTGTAAACTTAAAATGGTAAATCTTGTTATATATAGCTTAGCACAATAAAAATTGAAGTAAAAAAAAAAAAAAAACCTAAGAAAACCTGGAAAAAAAAATATCCATCAACTTACATGTATTTATCATTCGAGCCTAGGGTGATGAATATTTCCCAAAGTTACCTATCTCCTCAATTCAGTTAGTTCCAAAATGAACTGGCAGGCTAAAGGCATTCCGGCAGCAGTTGTTAGTTTTACTTCTAACCCCCAGCTCCAACACACCGTACTCACTTGTCAGCTGCATGGCAGATTGTGCCACAAGTGTCAGCCATGTCATCCACTAGGATGGCCACCCGATCCTTCACATCTCCCACTAGCACCATGCGGTCCACTTCATTGGCCTTCTTCCGTTCTTTGTGAATCAAGGCAAAGTCCACGTTTAACCGGTCTGCAATGGAGGTCACTCTGCAAAACGGGATGTTCAAAGTTCAAAGATGTGTGTTTGTGGCTTCTACAACAAAAGAAATGGACTAAAAAATGAAGAAAAAAAAGAATAAAAAATAATTTAAAAAAATACAACTATTTAGGTAGGATTTACACTGTGTTAGGTATTATAAGTAACACAGAGATGATTTAAAGTATACAGGAGGATGTGTGTAGGTTATATGCAAACACTATGCTACTTTATATTGGGGACTTGAATACCCATGGATTTTGGTATTCACAGGGGTTCCTGGAACCAATCCCCCATGGATACCAAGGGATGACTATATTCAAACTTAGATATCATTCATTTCCGGGTAGGGGATAGACACACATCCTCGCCAGTCCTGGGAAGCAGTATAAGGCTAAGGCATGTTTATTTAATGAACTGGCAGCAGAAGGGAAAAGAGAGAAGACTTCATTAACTAACGCTGGGAGGAGCCGGCCCATAGCTCACTAGAGAGTGTGGTGCTGATAACACCAAGGCCACAGGTTCAGATCCCTGTATAGAGATGGCCAGTTAGCTCAACATGGGAGAGCATGGTGCTGACAACACCAAGTCAAGGGTTAAGATCCCCTTACCGGTCATCTTTAAAAAAAAAAAAAGAAACTAATGCCAGGAGTGCAAAGACCATCCCAATTCCCATCATGGAAGACCTGTGACTAGAGATGGTGGTGAGAAGTGAACCTGAAGCTGGCAGGAGAGGAGCAGTGCTCAGCCTGTTCCAATGCCTGTGCCCTCACTGCTCCCCTCAGCAATGGTGGCAAAACATCCACCAACTGTCACTGTCAACTATACCTGGACACCAAGCTTGGGAATTCCATTTACGAATGCTAGAAAGAAAGTTATACCAATTAATCAAATTGGGCATCTCACTGTACAGCCCAAAGTATCTCCAAATCAAAACAATTGCTATTTTCTTTACTTATTACAAGATAATAGAAACCAGACTAGAAGGTGGGGTAGAAGACAAATCTGTCTGGTGACAAAGTACCACATAATTCACTCAAACAGAAATCCATTCACTGTAAATGACAGAGAGCTGTCCCAGTGACACGTACATCCATCCTCCACTGTTCCATCTTCATCATGCACGAAGATGAGGCCTGTGCTTTAGGTTTTATCTTTTTTTTAAATGTAGCATTGATCGAGCTCTATCATTATGTCCTGTGTCCCTTTTGAGTACGGTCACATACCTGAGTTTTACTGGATAGAGGAGAACCTGTGACCATACTGTAAGGTTTGAACCACCATCTGGGCAACATTTGTACCTTGATCTAAATGAACCACACCCTGTGCTCTCCAGCAGTAATGTTTGGGCACATAACATCAACGGTAACATATCTGCTTAGAATAATTACTTATCTGAGGCATAATGCATGATTAGTTCAAATGTCCCAAACCGTCCGCACTCAATGGCCAACAAACTCAGTGACCAAAAAGCATAAAAAGGGCTAGAAAAAGTAACTCTCTACGCTCCTGAGTGCAGAACTATTGTGCAAATCACAACTACACGGGGATCTCTACCTACTCCCCAAACCATGCTAAGACAGAAGTGATAGCCACTCACTTGGAAAATGCTCCATCACTATAAGACAATTATAACGGGAAAAAAAAAAAACCCAAAACAAAAAACAAACAAACAAACAAAAACCAAGTAGCAATAAGTCATCTACCCAAGGCAGTTTTCCTGTATTCAACTTTGGAAAGAAAACCTGTTTGATTATTTCAAATGTGACAATTTTCTAAGTTTCATGGCAAGATGTGAAAATAATGCCCAATAAGTTAAGACAAGTATGACAACTACCAGTAGGGGGATGTTTTCTAGGCTCTGTCCCTAGTATTATGGAGTAAATGGTGATTACATGGGACTCATCAAGCCATACATCTGGCTGGATAACAGAACTTAAGTTCTCAGCTTATCAGTTTTGTTGAAGTTACTGAAACAAAGAGGTTGTTGAGAAACAGCCACTGAAGATTAGAATGGCTTTTAGAAAGTTCTGAATTAGCTTTTCCTAATCATCTGTGTTTTGTAGCTCTTCATTCTATTTCCACAACAAAAAGAACATGTGTCATACTTTTGAATACATTACTAACGAGTAGTGCACTAATGAAATCAAGAGCTCTTAGTCTAGGGCCAGCCCGTGGCTCACTTGGGAGAGCGTGGTGCTGACAACACCAAGTCAAGGGTTAAGATCCCCTTACTGGTCATCTTAAAAAAAAAAAAAAGAGCTCTTAGTCCGCACCATGTGAGCTGTAAAGTATTATAACTGGCAACCCTTGGTATTCAATTTGTCTAAAATTTTAAGATCATGGCTTTAAATAAAAATACCACTCTTTATTTTCTTTCCTGCCTAATATTTTAATCCCAAAGATCAAAACGGTCTAACCAACAGCATTATAAGAGGTGTGTAAACAGCTTACTTGTTCACTAATATGTGGTTGATAGCATCTGCCATTCATTAGAAAACCAAATTTCTTACCCTTCCCAATAGGTTTATAGCAGTGTTGCTAGCTCTCTAGTGCCAAGTTACTAGTGTGTTACAGTCAAGCCTACAACACTATGACTATCTAGGGCCCCCTTTCTGTCTTGTCTTTCAAGTAGTGATTTGGACCAGTAAAAAAGTGAGCAAAACTATATTCAACCCATGTCCCCGCTACTGGTACATCCATTTTGAAGTACTTAAAAGCTGCCACTTGGATAGAAAAACATCACTTTCTGACACAACTGTCTGGAAGATTTTCCCAGTACTCTGGAAAGAATACTAATTTCCACCATACCTCTTAGCTCCACCAGCGTCAGGTGAGACAATAGTGCAGTTCCTCCACTCAGAGATATTCTCCCTTATCCACTTCAGGACAGCTGGCTCTGCATACAAATTGTCCACTGGGATATCAAAAAAGCCCTGCAGAAAGAAGTTGGATCAGTTTTCCTTCATCTTCCTTCTCTTCCATCTATAGATACCTAACACAAAGAAAGTACTAACTTGTGCCAGAGAATACCTTACTACAACATTCAAACTGATAGGAAAGCATATGACAAATTGTAAAAATGGCTTCCTCAAATCTCAAATCTCGGCCATGTGAGAATTCCCAGTCTAGATCAGCAAAGCCAGACCTCAGCCAACCCACAACTTACCACAGGAAAATGGGTGAGGCCCTTGTGAAGAACAGCCAAGTTCAGACAAGACCATAAGAACTGCCCAGCCAACATGCAGACTCATGTGTTCATAAATACTGCTTTATGCCACTAAATGTTAGGCTGGTTTCTTAAGGAGCAAAAGCTAACTAGTAAACCAATTAGAGATGCTATGGTATATAAACTTAGTGGAAGCTATTCATAATAAATGGTCACAAAGAATAACTAGAAGTCAAGAGATCTGTGTTCTAATGCTAGTTGACACAAATTAGTTTTATTTCTCAATTAAGTTGTTTCCCTTCTATAAAACAGGTATAATCCCCTGTCCTATGTACTTCATTGGATTGCCACAAGCTTCAAATAACAATGATTTGAAAGTCTCTTTCAACAGTAAAAAATAAAAGTGGTATTCTACTCCCCTTACTCTGGGTTTATGCTAGAGAGTAGATTCTAACATCTGTGGCTCTAAAGTTAAGACTGTGAATATTTAAGGGGAACAATAATGGTAACAACAGCTCCCATTTGCTGAGTACCTGTCGGCAGTCAGGCACTATATTATGAATTAATATCTTATTTTATACTCACAATAATGAAAACGTATATGCTCAGAGAAGTTAAGTAAACTGCCCAAGGTTATAGAACTAGTAAGCAACAGATCCAGTATTCAAAGTGTCTGATCCCAAAGCCTATGTTCTTCCCATAATACCAGATTACCTCCCGATCTAACCACCCCGGACGATTAAGATCATGAACTGTGCTTAAGGTGAATATGTTTAAAATGTTGTCAATATCTAGTTTATTTGAGCTGTACTTTGGCAGTTTTTGGTTTCTCTGCAGTTTTTAACATTCTCAGTCTTCCCCGCCCATCTTTTTATCCCACAATATTTAGCTTCCACTGATACCTGAATTTGAGAAGCATGTAGGTCCATGGTGATGATATGATCTGCACCTGCTACAGATAACATATTTGCGACAAGCTTGGCTGAGATTGGAGCCCGGCTCTAAATGGAAGGGAGGAAAGGAAAAATAAAAGCCAAAAAGCCAATTTGAAAAACAATTAATTTGCCCAAGAAACATTTATTTATTGTGCACCTACTATGTTTAAGGCACCGTGCTATCAGGAAATTCACAGCAAAAGACATGGCCACTGACTTGAGTAGATCGTAATCTAGAACAAATATTAAGTGGAACATCACTTTTCCAACTCAGGATACCTATTTCAGTAAACACCTTCCTAGCTTTCACTTTCTTAACCTCATGTACATATTTTCAGTCTATTCAAGTGTTTCCAATGCTCAATTATTCAAACTATGCAGACTTTAAAAATCTTTTTAAAAATAATTTTATTAAATTCTCTTTTAATATGTACATACTGAAACCTATATAACATCTAACACGTCAAAGTTTAAAGATAAATCACAGAATGGAAATTACTGTTTCTTTTATAGATTACCTTACTCACTACCTTACTCATCTGGAGGTCAACATTCCAACAACCTTAACTCTCTCAAATAAAAGGTAAACATGCCTGCTGTGCTGTAAAATAGCAAAGTCCATGCCCTTTGGTTTTATGTATATGCCTTATCCTCTTATACACCAGATAAGGTGAGATTACACACACACGCACACACACGAGGGTACTTCAAAAAGTTAATGGAAAGATTTGTATTATCTTTTAATTCTATTTTCCCACAAACTTTCTGAAGTACCCTCATATATACATTACCAAGTATTCATGTAACAGACTTCAAGTTTTATGAAGACGTCACAACTAGGATCCTGATCTTATGACACTTTGAGAAGATCTATCACAGTTTAAAAAATATTCTACTCCACAAATTACAAACGTGTTGCTTTATTTAAACCAATTATAAGCCTACTGTTTTGAAGATATGGTAATATCTAGGAAAATGAGATTTAAAAAACAGTCCCTAAATATATATATATCTGATGGTTGAGGAACTTTTTTGTGACTTTAGGCAAGTGTCCTGTTTCAGCTGCTTAAAAAAGATTCTGCCCTTACCTTATCCTTCTTATCCTGCCGGGCATAAGGGAAGCATGGGATGACTGCAGTAACCCGGCTAGCTGAAGCAATCTTGCAGGCATTAATCATAATCAAAAGCTCCATTAGATTGTCATTGATTTCACCACAACCACTCTGAACAATGTAGACATCCTCTCCGCGTACACTTTCACCAATTTCCACACTACAATGGGGAAAGAAGGGCAACATAAAACAATAGACGTTTAAGTACTATATTCTACGTCTACAAACAGTAAGGTCTAAAAAGCACAGCTTCCCTACTAGTATGTTGTAAATGGGTTACAGCTACATGTGGATACTGATCCCCTCAGACTTCAGGAGATCCCAGGAAGGAGCCCCTATACCAGAAGCAGTTTACTTCCTCAGTTTACTCCATTGCACTATACAAATACTACCATTTTCTACACGTGACATGACATGAAAAAGACTGCCTAACACTAGTCTAAAGTACTCACAAGTAATTAGACCAAAATTTCAGTAGGCAGTTCATATCTCATTTTGTACAGGTAAATGTAATGTGAGTGCAAATTCAATTCATCACCTGTAACTGTTACATAATCCATACATAACAAAAGAAGTAGAAGTATCATAAAGATGAATCACTACTCTTCTATAATGATGCTTTCTACAGAAGACAATACCACCTCTATGTATCACAATTCACTCAATAAATATTAAATGCTCATATGCTAGTCACTGTGTTAGGTGTTAGGGATTCAATGGTGAATAAAACAGATGTAGTCTTTGCCCTCATTCTATGCTAACTTTACTTTGGTCCAATCAGTAAGTTTTGTTTAATAAATCTCCATAGGAAGTTACTCTAATTAAGGAGTAGGGCTATATTTTATCAGAAAATGAAAGCTTCAATACTCATACTTGGGTCCCCACCAAGAAAAACTTATGAGCAAAAAAAAAAAAAAAAAAAAAAATCTAAAACCCTCATGTGGGGCCCCCCCCAAAAAAAACTTATGAGCAAAAAAAAAAAAAAAAAAAAAATCTCAGTGACACCTAAAAGCAGTACCGTTTTCCCAATTAACCTTCTAGCTTCTAGGTGTCTGTGTGCAGACAAGGAGTAGATCAGAATGGCTGATAACCCCTCTTGAGCAAGAGAAAAACTTCAGTTCAAATCAAAAGACAATACAGTTATTAAATCAAAGATTCACACTTTTACCTCCCTCTAACTCTTCTATCTTCTGGTGTGGCTTCAAGAACTACCTAATGTCCTATGACTGTTAGGATCAATTTTAACCCACTCCTTTCTCCCTCCCCCACAACTTCAAGGAACGTTATGAATGGGACTTATATCAAAATCATCATAAGTAATTCCATTGTCCAAAGAAGCTGATATAAGAGATAATTACTTACTAATTCCTTTTTAAACCAAGTAGCTATTGAAGGGATCCTACTTTTAAAAAGAATAGATTAGTGTACATTGTAAAGCAAGAAAAAAAATGAAGGCAAATAAAAAAAAATCAAACCAGAAACCAATTAAAACAGGGAAGAAAGATGAGATTCTCGGCAGCCAGAACAAAAAGGAAAACACCATTTGCTTAGGATATCTGAAGATACACCTTCTTCAGGCACTGAATTCAAGAAGTATTTTATTCTCCGGATCCTTATGCTCAAGTACATTATTTGCTCAAGTCAATAATCTAAGTTTCTATCTCAAGAAACTACAAAAAGAGCAAAATAAACACAAAGAAAGCAGAAGGAAGAAAATAACCATAAGAGCTGAAATCAACGAAATTAAAAACAGGAAAATAGAGAAAAATCAATGAAACAAAAAGCTGGTTCTTGCAGGCAGTAAGAATCAATTGATAAACCCCTAGGAAGAATGACAAAAACAGCCTCACTGAAGAATTCTACAAGCATTTAAAGAAGAATTAACACCAATTTTGCACTCTTTTCCAGAAAACAGATGGGGAAGGTACATTTTCCAACTCATTTTATGAAGGCAGTATTAACTCAGATACCAAAACCAAAGACAATATAAAAAAAGAAAACTACAGAGGGGGAGAAGACGGTGGATGTGGTTACAACAGGGCAACAGGAAGGATCCTTGTGGTGATGGAACCGTTTTTCATCTTGACTGTATCAATGTTAATATGCTAGTTGTACACTATAGTTTTTATAAGAAAACTATAGTTTGGAAAAACTGATTGGGAACCTTGGGAAAACTGGGTAATGGATACACTGATCTCTGTATTATTTCTTATAACTGCATGTAAATCTAAATCACCTTAAAATTCAATTTTAACAAAAAGTGCAGTATTATACCTTGTGTATGCTTGAGTCAACCATTACTGGAGCCCTTAATGAAAGCTGAGGTCGTTAAGAATATAACTAAAAACAAAGGCACTTGTATAGTCAGTTAAAAAGCCTAGCCCAGCTGTATTATTTTCTGACAAACTATGTGAGGGAATTTGGAGAACTTCGACTTTAACAGCTAATCTGAGAAACAGCTCATTTCAAAATATTTTCTCCCTAGCTTATGGGCCAGCCACACTCTCTTCTTTACATTCCTTGAACACACCTTTCTCCACTTCACAGCCTTTGCACATCTTCTCACTACCTAGAATGCTCTTCCTATAACCACCTCACTCATTTTTCAGGAATCTAATCAAAATACCTTCCCTAATCACCTTCTCAAAAGTGACTTCCTGGACAACCTGTAAGATTAAAAGTGACTTAATCATATCAACCAATTGCACTTGTATGGACCTTATTCACATATCAATTCAAACAATCTGAGAAAAAAAACCTACACATTTAGTAGATAAAGAAATTTGAACACTGGCTAGCTATTTAATATTAAGGGATTACTGTTAATTTTTTTAAAGTACAATACTGTTATTGTGGTTACTGAAATATATATGGATGATATAATATCTATGTTTGCTTCAAAATAATTTAATTGTGGGTGTGTGTGTGAAGGGGGAATAATAGATGAAGCAAGACTAGCCATAAACTAATAAACTGCTCAAGTGGATGATGGGTGTGGGGGGTGAGGGGAAAATTGTACCATTTTCTCTACTTCTGTATGTTTAAAATGTTCCATAATAAAAAAAGTATTAAACAAAGTGACCCTCCCCAGGTATTTTCTCATCACCCTGGTTATTCCCTTCAGAACACTTATCACAATTTGTTATCACCCTGTTATCTATGTACTTGTTTATCGTCTGTCTCCTGCACTAGAATGCAAGCTCCATGAAGGCAAGGACCAGAACTGTCATGCTCACCAGTATCTCCAGCCAGCCAGTGCCAACGACATGAAGAATGAAGAATGAATGAATGAGTGAATGAAAATGAATGAATACCTCTCAGGATTAGTCTGCCTCTTGCATCCACCCACTTTAGGCAGACTATGAACTGGCTGCAGGCCTGCTACTGGGAAAATTTAGAAAACTGACTTTTATCATCCTTTGCAAAATAATTCACTTTTGTTTGGTTCTACGCTGGAGGAAAGTAGAAACAACACGTTTCTTTAAAAGATTTTGACAAATCCGCTCACACCCTTTTGCATAAGATACTTGTATGATGTTTAATTTGGGGTAGAACCACAACCTGATGGGCCTACCATGATGAGATAGTAACAAAGAATTTTATGGCAGGATCCTTAAATAGTGACACTGAGCAAGGTAATGAACAATATAGCAATTTTGTGAACCCCCATGCAGCTCAACTGACATAGTCGTCTACCCTTTCTTTTTGTTTTAACTTAGGATACTTAATTTGATTCAGCTTTTATATGAATTTTGCCTGATCTTCAGCAATAAAAAGTAAAAGGATAAGTATCCTCTATGCTGAGGACATTTTATTAATCACCAAGATCAGCCTTAAGAAACAAATGAATCTGTTGGGAATATCAACTATGCCAAAGCCAAAACTGCTTTCTGAAGACATTCTTCAAAATTCAAATAGGCAGGGGCCGGCCCGTGGCTCACTCGGGAGAGTGCGGTGCTGATAACACCAAGGCCACGGGTTCGGATCCCATATACGGATGGCCGGTTCGCTCACTGGCTGAGCGTGGTGCTGACAACACCAAGTCAAGGGTTAAGATCCCCTTACCGGTCATCTTTAAAAAAAAAAAAATTCAAATAGGCAGGAGGGAGCCAGGTAGGGCTTTCTAGAACAACTTCCAAGTTTACCAAAGTGTAGGCCCTAGAACGGCATAGGCCAGCATGTAGCCACTGGTCTCATGAGATTATTGAGTACTTGAAATGTGTTTGTCACTGAGGAACTGAATTGTTTTTAACTGATGTGCTTTAAGTGAAAAATATCTAACTTATTTTGAAGACAGTATAAATAAAAGAGAAAATATATCTCAAGTTTATACTGACTACATGTTGAAATTATATTTTGGATATATTGGGATAAATGAAATATACTAAAATTAATAAAAAACTCAAATGGATAGAATTAAATAACACCTCCTGGAAGTAGGGATGTTCTGCAAACTACTCATTGTGGCAGAACCAAATAAGAGGCAGTGGTCATTTAAAGGGACTTCTCAGATCTTCCATACTACTAACACTGCCCTTTGAGAGGTTCCAGACTAAAAGAGCCCCTTCTATGTTTTATGGTATGCAACTTGGGGTTTTGACCAAGTACTTCCAATATTTGAGCAAGTTCAAAATGCAGAAAATTTTAATTCTGCCCACATTTATCCTCCATACCTCACTTCTTCTTTGACAAAGATCTCCATTTCCCTGGGGGAGAATGAAAGTCAGGCACATTGATTTCCAATAATGTCAACTTTGCCCTCTACATCTGGTAACAGAAACCTATGGCTCTTGTTTCACTCAAGAACACAGAATATCATTTGTGCTACACGCATTCACTTGAGTCAGGTTGTCTGATAAGGAGCTAGAGAACAAACGTACAGTTTCATAATTGTTCCAAGACAGTACAACAGACAGGCTAACTATCCACTCCTCTAGGTTTTTAAAGCTTTATTATCATCAAATAAGACCAGAAAACAACATACTTAGACCATGGTGGATTATGTCCCTTTACATATGCCTCAATTATCAACTCAATATAAAAAATACCCACAAAATTGCTGTATTGTTCATTACGTTACTTAATTTCACTATTAAATGTTACCACCCATAAAAAGAATTCTTAGGATT